GTAATACTAGTAGTGGTAGTAGTAGCAGTAGTAGTAGTAGCCGTCGCAGTAGTAGTAGTAGTAGCAGTAGCAGCAGTAGCAGCAGAAGTGCTAGTAGTGGTAGTAGTAGTATTATTACTAGTAGTAGTAGTAGTAGTAGTAGTGGTAGTAGCAGTACTATTCGCAGTTGTAGTAGTAGTAGTAGCAATAGTAGTAGTAGTAATAGTCGTAATTGTAGTAGCCGTAGTAGTAGTAGCCGCAGTCGTAATACAAGTAGTAGTAGTAGTCGTAGTCGTACCCGTAGTAGTGGTAGTAGTAGTAGTAGTCGTAGTAGTAGTAATGGTAGTCGTCGTAGTGGGGGTAATAGTAGCGATGATACTAATGATCGTGATCGTGATAGTAGTAGTGATAACAGTAGTGATAGTAGTAGTGATAGTAGTAATGGTAATAGTAGTAGACGTAGTAGTAGTGGTAGTAGTAGTAGTAAGCATAGTAGCCGCCGTAGTAGTAGTAGTAGTAGTAGTAGTACTACTAGTAGTAATACTAGTAATAGTAGTCGTAATAGCAATGGGAGTAGTAGTAGTAGTAGTAGTAGTAGTAGTAGTAATAGTAGTCGTAGTAATAGTGGGTGGCAGTAGTAGTAGTAGTAGTAGTAGTAGAAGTAGTAGTAGTAGTAGTAGTAGTAGTAGTAGTAGTAGTAGTAGTAGTAGTGGTAGTACTCGAAGTAGTCGCACTAGTAGTACTAGTAGTGGTAGTAGTAGTAATAGTAGTAGTAGTAGTAGTAGTAGCAGTAGTAGAAGTAGTAGTAGTATTAGTAGTAGTAGTAGTAGTAGTAGTAGTAGTACGTAGTAGTAGTACTAGTAGTAGTCGCAGCAGTAGTAGAAATAGTAGTAGTATTAGTCGTAGTAGTAGCAGTAGTAAGAGCCGTCGTAAGAATAGTATTAGTAATCGTAGTCGTAGCCGTGGTAGTAGTAGCAGTATTAGTAGTCGTAGTAGTAGTAGTAGTAGTAGTAGTAGCAGTAGTAGTAGTATTATTATTAGTAGTAGTAATAGTAGTGGTCGTAGTAGTAGTAGTAGTGGTATTAGTAGTAGTAGTGTAGTAGTAGTAGTGGTAGTAGTAGTGATAGTAGTAGTGATAGTAGCCGTGGTAGTTGTAGTGGTAGTAGTAGTGGTAGTACTAGTAGTAATAGTAGTAGTTAATAGTAGTAGTAGTAGTAGTAGAAGTAGTAGTAGTAGTAATAGTATTAGTAGTAGTAATAGCAGTAGCCGTAGTCTTTGTAGTAGTAGTAGCAGTAGCAGTAGCAGTAGCAGTAGTAGCAGTAGTAGTAAAGTAGTAGTAGCAGTAGTAGTAGTAGTAGTGGTAGTAGTAGTGGTGGTAGTAGTAATAGTAGTAGTAGTAGTAGTAATAGTAGTAGTAGTAGTAGTAGTAGTAGTAGTGGTCGTAGTACTACTAGCAGTAGTAGTCGTAGTAGTCGCAATAATAGTGTCAATGGTGGTAGTATTACCACTCGTATCGCACAGCGGGAGGCGACGTGGCATTGGGACCGAGGCGCGCGGAGACACCACTAGACACCGCGATCCGACATGAAACACCACGAGGCACCACGGGACACCACACCACATGACACCAGGCCTACCGCACACCGCACCACACCACACACACATACACACACCACGCCACACCACGCACGCACCACACGCGCGGAGACGCCACGAACCACCACGAGGACCATGAGACACCACGAGGCACCGACACACCACGGGACACCACGAGACACACCACACCACACACACCACCATCGGAATCCCTGTAAATCGATTATCCGAGGAGATCCCAGGATCACCCCCAGAATCCCTGGGAATCGTTTTCCAGGGCCCTCCAGGGAGATCCCAGGATCACCCCTAGAATCCATGGGAATCGTTTCCCAGGGCCCTCCAAGGAGATCCCAGGATCACCCCTCAGAATTCCTGGGAATCGTTTCCCAGGGCCCTCCAGGGAGATCCCAGGATCACCCCCAGAATCCCTGGGAATCGCTTCCCAGGGATTCCGAAAGTGATCCCAGGATCGCTTTTGGAATCCCTGGGTATCGCTTCCCAGGGATTCCGAAGGCGCTCCCAAAGCTTTGTCTTAACATCCAAACGTCTGGCTTTCGATTTTTTTGGGGTGTCGAATAGATAGGGATTATCCGACAATGGTCCCGGGATCGCTTGTGCAATCCCTGGGAATCGATTCCCAAGGATTCCGAAGTTGATCCCAAGGGTGCTGTTCGGAACACTCCAAATTCTAGGTTTCGAATTGTCATGGGTGTCGAATACACAGAAATTGTCAAGAATCGTTCGCGGGATTGTTGTTGAAAACCCTGGGAATCGATTCCCAGGGGGTCCGAAGGGAATCCGAAAAATATTTTGTTCTGACAATTCCCGTGGCATGCGACCGCGTCCTCGCCCGCTCCCGCGCCCGCCCGCGCACCCCACGAACAAATTAGAACCAAAGAAATCAATGAATAACATAAATTTCCCCCTCCCGAACGCGCAATTGCCGCTACCGCGTCCGCGCCCGTTCGGGCGCCCGCCCGCGCATCCCGCGAAAAGAAAGTCAAGTCCCAAACGTCAATGAAAGGCTGTAGCTTCCTCCTCCCAAGTGCGTCATTACCTCTACCGTGTCCGCGCCCGTTCCTGCGCCCGCCCGCGCACCCCCCGAAAAGGGGATAAAACCAGAACAACATATGAAACACTATCGTTCTCCTTTTCCCAAGCGCGTCATTACCGTCACCGTGTCCGCGCCCGTTCCCGCGCCCGCCCGCGCGCCCCACGAAAAAGGAACGCACCATTGCTGCTACCGTGTCTGCGCCCGTTCCCACGCCCGCCCACGCACCCCACGGAAAGGGAGGAACACCTTGAAAGACACTATTGAACAACAATAATTCCCCCTTTCCCAAGGCGCGACTGCCGCTACCGCGTTCCCGCCCGTTTTCGCGCCCGCCCACGTACCCCGCGGAATTGCATTGGAACCCCGTGGAATTCCGAAGAGTTCTAAAATTCCACGGAACTCCACGGACTCCCCCAAAAACATTGGCTTATAATGAATTCACAATTTCATTTGAATTCCGTGGGGGCCTGCTAGGGCGCCTGCTGAATGCGCCCACTTAGGGCGCCCACGTAGGGCACTCGCGCAGGGCGCTCACGTCAGGCGCTTGCTGGAGGCGCCCACTACGGGCGCCCACTGAGGGCGCTCACTGAAGGCGCCCACGTAGGGCGAGGCGTGAACGTAGGCGCTGACTGAAGGCGCCTGCCGAAGGAGCCCACTAGGGGCGCCACGAAGGGCGCCCACTAAGGGCGCGCACTAAGGGCGCCCACTAAGGGCGCGCACTAAGGGCGACCACTAAGGGCGCGCAGTAAACAGCGTATACCACGGGCGGCCACTGAACGCGCGCAGGAAGGCAAACCCTGGGAATGGATTCCCAGGGGTCTAGAGAAGCGATCCCAGTGGGATCGCTGTCTCTATTCGCTTGGAACCGCTTCCAAGGAATTATAGAGTAGCGATCCCAGGTGTTGTGGCCCGAGAGGGGTACGAACGGTACACGGCTCTTCGCCCTACAATTGATCGCCCCTCTCCCTTGCCCGAGTGCATGGATGGGGGATCCGTGGATCTCGGGCGCGGCGGCGCCAGATCTGTGGATCGGGGAAGCGACCCCCCCCCACCCACCCACCCACCCACCCACCCACCCACCCACCCACACACACACACACACACACACACACACTACACACACTACACACACACACACTACACACACACACACTACACACACACTACACACACACTACACACACACACACTACACACACTACACACACACTACACACACATGACACTGGTGCCGCCTGATCTGGCCGAGGAGGAGGAGAAGGAGGGGAGGAGGAGGAGGAGGAGGAGGAGGAGGAGAGGAGGAGAGGAAGAGGAGGGGGAGGAGGAGGAGGAGGAGGAGGAGGAGGAGGAGGAGGAGGAGGAGGCGGACGAAGGAGGAGGAGGAGGAGGAGGAGGAGGAGGAGGAGGAGGAGGGAGGAGGCGGAGGAGGAGGACGAGGAGGAAGGAAGGAGGAAGAGGAGCAGGAGGAGGAGGAGCAGGAGGAGGAGGAGGAGAAGCTCATCGCCAAAGCGGGTCCAGACCGCTGGGGAGACGCGTTGCGCAAAGAAGCGCGACGCCGGATGCCTGGGGAGGTAAAGTCTCAGGGAGAGGCACCCCCCACGGCCCCTCAGGAGCCCCCCGGGCCCCTCTTTTGCGAGGCGCCCAGGGTGCCGCGCAAAATGGAGCGCAGAGTCCTCCTCCTCCTCCTGCTCCTCCTCCACGCCTTCTCTTCTCTTCTCTTCTCTTCTCTTCGCTTCTCTTCTGTTCTCGTATCTTCTCTTCTCTGCTCTTCTCTTCTCTTCTCTTCTCTTCTCCTCCTCCTCTTCCTCCTCCTTCTCCTCCTTCTCCTCCTCCTCCTGCCCCTCCCCCTCCCCCGAATCTTGTCACGAACAGCGAACATATCCGTATCCGCGCCGTTGCGGTCTGGACTCTGGGGCGTGTTCCCGCGGATGCGCGGTCGCACGGATACAGAGGGGAGGGCATCTGCGAAAAACGCCCAGTGTCTGTGAGGTCGCGTCGACGGGGCCTGGCCCGCGAGGCCGCGGATGGGGAGATGAAATGTTTGTCGATGATGAAACCCTCGGCCCAAGGTGTCCCCAGCTCTCCACTCCACTTCATGTGGGCGACGATCAAGAATAGGTTTTACGCGAAATGACACAACGAACGCGGTGACTTGCGCGGTGACTTACGCGGGACGTCAGCGCGGCACGCCACATTGGAGACGAGGGCGCTGAGGCACGACCTTGCGCGAACAGCTAACGCGCAAACGTCGGCGAAAACGGCTCCGTTGTTTTGCGTCGCCCATGTGGCGGAATGGGGGTTTCGCGGGGGAGGGGGGGGCGGGGGGTCCTGAGGCACTCGCCGCTCGTGAACCCCCGGCGCACCACCGAGCCTTGAGCTGCTCGACCTCGCGCCGCAGGCCCTCCGCCTCCGAGGAGGCGCTCCTCGCGGCCTCGGCGACGCTTTCCCGTGCGGCAGCCTCCTGTTTGGCCGCCCAGAATGAGCACGCCCAAAAAGGGGTACGATGCCCAGCAACAAATGTGGTCCACATCTGACAGCGGCCGCTGTTTGGCAGGCGGCTTCCTGTTTCAAATGGGCAGCGCCCGCGGCGACGCCGACAGCGCACCCTGCCCAGAATGGACAGAAACTGCTATTGGCATTCGTGGAAATTGTTTCCGAACCCATGGCTGTCGCACCGATCCTCCCGGAGCTGCTCCAACTCCGCCCGCATCTCAGCGGCTGCTGCGGCGCCGGCGGCCTGCGAGGCCGCCTCTTCCCCGAGGCGCGCCAGCTTCGCCCGCAGCGCTTCCGCCTCGGCGGCGGCGGCGGCTGCCGCCTCGGCCGCGCTTTGCTGCGCTGCCACCTCCTCCCGCAGCCGCGCCCGCTCCTCGCGCAGCGCCTCCGCCTCGGCGGCGCTGGCGGCGGCCGCCGCGGCTTCTCGCCGCTGCGCTGCCGACTCCTCCTGTGGGCCTCGTCTGACCCAGCCCAGTCCACAGGGGCATGAGCTTGGCCCCACTGGCCAGGTTACCCCCTGGTGAAAGTATAAATTTATATACATACACAGAAGTGTGACTATATATATATACACGTATATATAAGTACACACATACGCATCCACATGCGTGTATGTATGTATGCACGTTCGTGTGCGTATGTATGTACGTACGAACGCACGCAGTCACTGCATGTATATGTGTGCGTGCGTTTCTGCGCATGTACGTATGCAATGCAATGCAAGCGCGCGCGTATGTGTGTGTGTGTGTGTGTGGATTTCGAAAGGGTAGACGGACAGCCAGGCCAAACGCGTCTTCCGTTCAATGGGATTCGGCTCGCCTCTGAAGGCGGCCGGACTCCATAATGTAATAGTGCACTCACCGTTCGCAATGCGGCGCGACGACGATGATATAGACAACGAGAGAGAAAGAGACAGAGAGAGAGAGAGAACAAAACATGGAGAGAGAGAGAGAGAAAGAGAGAGAGGGAACAACAAGAAAAACAGAGAGAGAGAGACAAAAAAGAGAGGAGAGAACACGACACTACGTCGATGAGAGAACTACGGGAGAAGAGAGAGATAGAGAAACAACAACATATACGTATGGAAAAAGAGAGAGACAGAGAGAGAGAGAGAAACAAGTAAAGAGAGGGGAAGAGAGGAAGAGAGAGAGAGAGAGAGAGACAGAGAGAGAGAGAGAAAGAGTGGGAGAGATGGAACGAGAGATGGATGGAGAGAGAGAGAGAGAGACAGAGAGGCAACAACATATAGAAAAAACACAAAGACATGTTGAGAGAGACATAGAGACAGAGGTCGAGGCAGACAGAGAGAGAGAGGCAGCAAGAGAGAGAGAGGGAAACAAATACACAGAGAGTAAGAGAGAGAGAGAGAAACAACAACAATACAGTAAGAGAAATATACTACCAAGAGAAGGAACCACATAACACCACACTTATATATATATATATATATATATATATATATATATATGTACTAGAACCATCGCGCGCGCTTCGCGCGCGCTCTGGTTCTAGCCCAGGCCGGGGGGGCGCTGGACGATCTTGGACAACGCTATCAAGCACAGGCGCGCGACAGCATTTGAGGAGCTTCTGGGGTGTTCCGCATGCTTCGTCAACTGGCTGTTGGAGGCACCTTTTGGGTGCTTCTTGGGGGGGCGTCTGAGGGTCCCTTGGGGGCATCGGTTCTGCAATCTGAAGCCGGCATTGGCCGTCTTGTCTGCGTGGAGGCCCGACTTCAGGCCACCTGTGGCCACATTGAGGCAATCCGGAAACCTCCCGGGGTCCTCCTGGAAGCAGTTTGGACTCATCGAGAGCACTGTTGGGCTATTTTAACGCCTCTTGGACGTCTCCTAGGGGCCTGTTGGGCCCTCGGGAAGCTTTTGGGGTCCTCGTCGGACCACTTGGGGGCCTCTTGCGGCCTCCTGTGGGCCTTTGGGGGGGGAACGCTCTGCTGTTGGGTCGCGTTGCCCTTCTTGGGCCTCTCTTGGGGCTCTTGGGGCCCTCTCGGGCCGTCTTGGGCGCCTCAACCACCGTCTTGGGGCCCTCGTGGGCCGTCTTGGGGCCCTCTTGGAGGCCTCTTCCTTTATATTGGAGCGGTATTGGAAGCCTCTTGGGCCGTCTTGGAGCATCGGGATGCCAAAAGGCAGAAACGATTTAAACCCGTCAAAGCCCAATCGTGCAACAAGAAGTTGTGCCTCTTGGGGCCACCTTGGGAGATCTCTTGGAACCTCGTCTGCCCTCTTGGGAGCTTCTTGGGGGCCTCTTGGATCTGATTGGGGGCCTCTCGGGACTTCCCGAGAACCTCTCGGGGTAGAAAGCTCGGATTTTCGGTTCGTGTTTCCCTTTTGGGGCCTCTCTTGGGGCCGTCTTGGGGCCCTCTCGGGCCGTCTTGGGCGCCTCAGGCACCGCCTTGGGGCCCTCGTGGGCCGCACAGGGCCCTCTTGGAAGCCTCTTCGGCTATCTTGGAGCTGTCTTGGAGGCCTCTTCCTCCTCCTCGTCCCCCTCCTCCTCCTCCCACTCCAGCTCTCTCTCTCTCTCTCTCTCTCCTCCTGATCTTCCTCCTCCTGCAGCGTGTTCCGGAAGGGCACAAGTGCTGTCCCTGCTCCCGCCACCGTGCCCTGGGTGGTGGGTCAGAGGCCTCATGGGTGTTGGTTTGGATCTCGAGGTTGGCCTGTCGGAAACGTCGTGAAGGCAACTTCGCAGCTTCTCGGTAGCCGTTTTGGGACCGTTGTGGGGCCTCCTCGGGACTGTTTTGTGGTCTCTTTAGGTCTCGTTTGGGCCTCCTGGATGCCTCTTGGGGGCCTCCTGGGGCCTCTTGGGGGCTCCTTGGGGCCTCCTGGGGCACTCTTCAAGCGGGAGGGTCGAATTTTGGAATCGTGGTCCCCCTTTGGGACGCATCTTGGGGCGTTCTTGGAGCTCTCTTGGACTGTCTTGGACGCCTCTGGGGCCGTCTTGGGGCCCTCTTGGGCCGTTTTGGGGCGCTCTTGGGGGCCTATTGAGCCATCATCGAACGTCGGACAGCCGGAAAGGCTGGCCAAAATTGTTGGATAACCTATCTTGGGCGTCCAGGAGCGGTCTTTCGGCGACTTGGGGCCCGCTTGGGCCGTCTTGGGAGCCTCTGGAGGCCCTCCTGAACTATTTTGGACCTCCCCGGCCGCCCCGTCCTCCCATGGGGGGCGGGGCAGCTGTTTGTGGGCCCAGGGCCTGCCCCCCAGGGATATATATATATATATATATATATATATATATATATATATATATATATATTATATATATATATATTATTATATATATATATATATATATATATATATACTAGAACCATCGCGCGCGCTTCGCGCGCGCTCAAGTTCTAGCCAGGATCCTCACCATCGTCATCATCGCAATCATCACCATCGTAGTCATCGTCATGGTCGTGTTCACCATTACCATCACCAGCACAACCATCATCATCACCACCATCATCGTCAGCATCGTCAGCACCATCGTCATCATCGTCGTCGTCATCGTTGTCCTCACTATCATCGTCGTCGTCATCATCATCAGCATCATCATCGTCAGCATCAGCATCAGCATCATCATCATCATCATCATCTTCGTCGGCGCCGTCGTTGTGCTCGTCATCCTCATCATCAGCGTCGTCGCCGTCATCATCATCGGTCTACTCCAGTCCCCTCCCCCTCCTCCTCATTTCCGTTCTATCTCTCCCCATCATCCTATCCTCTTGCTCCTCCTCCTCCTCTTTCTTCTCCTCGATGCCGTCTCCCTGAAGTGGATCCCTGTTCATTCACCTCCTCCTCCTCCTCCCTGTCCTCCCCGCTCTCTTCAATCTGTCCCCTCTGCTTGCCGCCGAGTGTGATGGCACCACGACGGCGAGAACGACGACGACGACGACGACGACGACGACGAGGAGACACCCCAGGCTGCAGAGGAAGAGGGTGGTCAGGGAGTGGGCGTCGGCACCGAGATCAGCTAAGTAGACATGGGCTGTCCCGACGGAGGAGGACGAGGAGGCCACAGAAACAACGGCAGCCCCCATCCTTTCAAAGCTAACATGTGCACGCTAAGCTCGCACCCTCGGCCCCAACTAACACCACACGCGCAGTTCGAGCGCGCTGAGGTTCCAGCAGCCCCCATCCTCTCAAAGCTAACATGTGCACGCGTGCACGTAACCACCAATGGCAGGAGCATGAACTGGAGAGGTAACAATGGCGCAGACCGAACAGGGCCGTAGTACACACGAGGGCGCACACAGACGTATCGAATGCAACGCCATGCAGACCAATGCGAGTAGTAAAACAAACGCCAAACGTTGCATTATTGTTGAATTGAAATGCAATGCACATGCTACTCAATGCAGGCAGCTCAACGGAACGGATCGGAAGGAAGAAGGGGTGCATATGAAAGTGTCCGAAATCGCATGGGGCTCGTTTCGGTGCCTGCTCGGGGGCTCTTGGGGGCCTCCCGGGGGGCTCTTGGGGGCCTTTGGGAGCCTCTAGTGGTTTCTGGGGATGCTCTTGGGGCCGAGGGCCCGTAAAGTGCGCTCGGATCCCGCGTCTGGGCCCCTTCTTGGAGCCGTGTTGGGACTCTCTTGGGCCGTCTTCGAGGCCTCTTAAGCGGTCCCGGGGCGCTCTTGGGCCGTCTTGGGGCCGTCTTGGTGGCCTCTTGGGCCGTCTTGGGGCGATCTTGGGTGCCTCTTGGCCGTCTTGGAGCGCCAGGGAGCCCAAAAGGAGAGAAAGCCAAAAACATCGAAAAACACAATGGAAAATCAACGATTCGAGCCTCTTGGGGCCCTCTTGGAGAGCCTCTTGGAGGCCTCTTGGGGCGTCTTGGAGGCCCCTTGGGCCGTCTTGGGACCATCTTGGGCGTCTTGGAGCGATCTGGGACCGCCTCGGGGCCCTCTTGGACCATCCTGGGGGCCTCCTGGGGCCGTCTTGGAGGCCTCTTGGGTCGTCTGGAGGCTCCTTGGAGGCTCCTTGGAGGCCCCGGGGAGGGGGTATTAAAAAGCGTTCCCCGATGGTTGCGGAGTGGGCGGCCCCGCCGGGGGGGGGGGCCTATTTGTTTATATATATATATATATATATATATATATATATATATATATATATATTATATATATATATATATATATATATATATATATATACTAGAACCATCGCGCGCGCTTCGCGCGCGCTCAGGTTCTAGCAGGCCCCAGGCCTTGACGAATTCACTGCTCCACTGAAGTAGTGGACCACAATCAAAGCATGCCATTCTGCATTCCGAAAGGCCGTCGAGGAAAATGGTTGTGTAGGGGGGCGGAGGCCGTATGAATCGGGTTCCCAGAAGGCCTTCTTGAAGCATGGGTTTGGGGCGTCTTGGGGAGCCTGTTGGGGCGTGCCGTCGTCGTCGTCGTCGTCGTCGTAATGTCGTAATGTCGTCGTCGTCGTCGTCGTCGTGGTCGTCGTCGTG